GTCTTTCTCAGCATCAGGGTCTTTACCAAGGAGTCTGCTTTTTGCATCAGGTAGTCAAAGTATTGAAGCTTCAGTTTCAGCATCAGTCCTTCCAATGAATATTCAGGGTTGATTTCCTTTGGGTTGACTGATTTGATCTCTTTGCAGTCCAAGGGACTCTAAAGAGTCTTCTCCAGCCCCAGAGTTGGAAAGTATCCATCCTTCTGCACTCAGACGTCTTTGTGGACCACTCTCACCATCATACATGACTACTTGAAAAACCATAGTTGACTATACAGATCTTTGTCAGCAAAGTGATGCCTCTGTTTTTTAATATACTGTCTAGGTTTCTTTTCTTTTCTTTTTGCCAAGGAGCAAGCTTCTTCTAATTTCATGGCTGTAGTCACCATCCTCAGTGATTTTGGAGCCCAAGAAAATAAAATCTATAACTATTTCCACTTTTATACCATCTATTTGCCATCAAATAACAGGCCTGGATGCCATGATGTTAGATTTTGATGTTGAGTTTTAGTTTTTACTCTCCGCTTTCACCTTCATCAAGAGGCTCTTTAGTTCCTTGCTTCCTCCTATTAGAGTGATATCATCTGCATATCTGAGGTTACTCATATTTATTGGCAATCTTGAGTCCAGCCTGTGATTTATCCATCCTGGCATTTTGCATGATGTACTCTGCATATAAGTTAAATAAGCAAGGTAACAATATACAGCCCTGATGTACTCCTTTCCCAAGTTTGAACCAGTCTTTTATTCCATGGCAGTTCTAAGTGTTGCTTCTTGACCTGCATACTGGAATCTGAGAAGGCAGGTAAGGTGGTCTGGTATTCCAAATAGGAATTTTAAGTATTTCCCACAGTTTGTTGTGATCCACACACTTAGCATCATCAATGAAGCAATAGACTTTTTTTTTGCAATTAGTTTGCTTTATCTATGATCAAATGGATATTTGCAATTTGATCTCTTGTTCCTGTGCCTGTTCTAAACCCAGAAGCCATTGTACGATTGGACGTTCCCAGTTCAGGTACTATTGGAGCCTAGCTTGAAGGATTTTGAGTATTATCTTGCTAGCAGGTGAAATGAGTACAATTGCACGCTAGTTTGAACATTCTTTGGCATAGCCCTTCTTTGGGATTAGAATGCAAACTGACCTTTTCCAGTCTTATGACCACTGCTGAGTTTTTCAAATTTGCTGGCATATTGAGTGCTGCTTTTAACTGCATCATCTTTTAGCATTTGAAATAGTGCAGGTGGGATTCCATCACCTCCACCAGTTCTGTTCATAGTGATCCTTCCTTAGTCCCACTTGACTTCACACTCTGGAATGTCTGGCTCTAGGTGAATGACCACACTATCATGGTCTTCCAGGTAATTAAGACCTCTTTTGTACAGTTCTTCTACATAATCTTGCCATCTCTTCTTAATCTTTTCTGCTTCTCTTAGGTCTTTACAATTTCTTTCCTTTATTGTGCCCATCTTTGCATGAAATGTTCCCTTGGTATATCTAATTTTCTCAAAGAGATCTTTAGTCTTTTGTATCTATTATTTTTTTTTTTCTATTTCTTTGCATTGTTCCCTTAAGAAGGCTTTCTTATCTTTCCTTGCTATTCTGTGAACTGTGCATTCAGATGGGTATATCTTTTCCTTTCTCCTTTGCCTTTCACATCTCTTCTTTTCTCAGCTATTTGTAAGGCCTCCTCAGACAACCATTTTGCCTTGTTCCTTTTCTTTTCCTTGGCATGGCTTTAGTCATGGCCTCCTATACTATGCTATGAACCTCCAACCACAGTTCTTCAGGCACTCTGTCTATCAGATCTAATTATTTCTTAAGAAGATAAATTAAGGTTTTTATTTGGACTTTCAAAATATGAAATTCTCAAAAATTAATAGAATTAAAAGACAGAAAAGTAGAAAAGTGTAGTAAACCCCAAAATCACTTTGAACCAATTCAACATAATTAAGATTTTTAGAATTTTCACACAACAGCAGGATACAAATTACATTCAAGTTCCTGTAGACTATAAGCCAGGAGACAGTGGAACATATCCAAAGATATAAAAGAAGGTATAAAAATCTCATGGTTTAAAGGTATTGAAATCACACAGAGTCTGTTTTCTTACCACTGTGGAATTATGTCAGAAATCAATATCAAAATATATTTGAAAATTTGAAAATGGCCCAAATACTTTCAAGTGTCACTCATTAAGAGACATTATTGACAGCCATTGAAAGCCTCAATAACGTTAAAAGACTGAAAACAAACAAACAAACAAAAAAACTACAGAAGGTGATTGAAAGCATTTAAATGAGAAATTAATAGCAAAGTGAGAAATTAATAGTAAACATATTTTAAAAATCTTGTGTATGTGGAAATTAAATATCCACTTTCAAATGATGGGTGTATCCAAGAAAACATAGCAAGGTAGATTGGAAAATATTTGTAACAGAGTAAAGCTGAAAAGACAATGTATTAAAATTTGTTGTATGCAGCTGAAGCTGCTCAGTATTACTAAATACAATATGGAATGTTAAATAGGTTTGAAAACAAATAATAGACACTAGCATTAAATTTTGTGAAATTTGAACAAAATTAGTACTTTAGTTAATAGTACTGTATCATATGTTAATTTCCTTTTTTTCCCTTTTTCTTTATAGTCTCATAATTGTATAGAAGTTTGAAGCCTCATTCAAAGTTTTTTTTAGAAATAATATTTCTAGACTTTTAGCAGTAATACTGAATGTCAAAATAAATGGAATTATATCAAAGTTTTGAGTGATAAATTAGATAAACTAGAAATCTAGCATTGATTCCATGCTTAGTCAAATGAGTGGAACCAAAATGTCACAAATCTGTTAGCTAAGAAAAATCAATAAATTGTATAGTATATATTATGCATACTGTACACACACACATATGAATATGTATAAACACACACACACACACATATATATAAGCTTTTCTACTACACTTGACTAAGACTTGGGGAAGAAAAATTAAAAAAAAAAAAAGAGAGAGGGGAAACTGGAAATAGTAAATGAAATGAAATAGAAGCACTCTAATATGAAATAGGAAAAGTGAAAAACACTAGATAAATTAAAAGATCATTATATAGTTCAGTTGTTTTAAAACATGATTGCCATTAAAACACATTTGAAGATTTGGAGAAAAAAAATACCTGGATATTTGTATTTTTCAAAAATTTCTGTGATAATTCTAATGTGCATCTGGATTTTATAAAGTAGTTACAGGTCTTTCCATTAAATTGAAATTTTAGAAATATAGAGTTCTATGCTTTTATTTGACTAATCAGGATACAATGGTACTAAAATGAGTATTTCCATTATCACAATAGTAAAAGTTATTATCAGTTTTCACCATCAATTACCAGATAAAAAATAAAAGATGATTATAACTGCAAGCCATAATTGTAACATGGTTAACCTAACAATATAAAATAATTATACACAATTTGGGGAAGGGGTTAAGCAGAGTGATGTGGTAAGTGGAAGTGTATGCATGCGCATGTTTTCATCCATCCAGTCAGTCTATGTCTTTTGGTTGGTGCATTTAATCCATCTATATTTAAGGTAATTATTGATTTGCATGATCCTATTACATGTTCTTAATCGTGTTGGGTTTAATTTTTGTAAATCTTTTCCTTGTCTCTGTTTCCTTCTTTGAGTAGTTCCTTTAGCGTTTGTCATAAAGCTGCTTCAGTGGTGCTGGATTCTCTTAACTTTTGCTTGTCTGTAAAGTTTATGATTTCTCCATCAGATCCGAATGAGAGTTTTGCAAGGTAGAGTACTCTAGATTTTAGGTTCTTCCATTTTATAACTTTAAGTATAAATATATCATGCCATTCTCTTCGGACTTGTAGAACTTCTGCTGAAATATCAGTTGATAAGCTTTTGGGAGTCCCTTTGTATGTTATTTGGCATTGTTCTCTTGTTGTTTTAAATATTTTGCCTTTGTCTTTAATTTTTGTCAGCTTGATTACTGTGTTTATCTTGGTGTGCTTCCCCTTCCTGGGACTCTCTGTGCTTCTTGGACTTGGTTGATTATTTCCTTTCCCATGTTAGGGAAGCTTTCAGCTATTATCTCTTCAAATATTCTCTTAGGTCCTTTCTCTCCTTCTTCTCCTTTGGATACTCCTACAATGTGAATGTCGGTGTGTTTAATCTTGTCCCACGGGTCTTTTAGGCTGTTTTTCCCTGCCCCTCCACCCCCATTCTTTTTTCTATATTCTGTTCTGTGGCAGTGATTTCCACCATTCTGTCTTCCAGATAACTTATTAATTTTTATGCTTCAGTTATCCAACTATTGATTCCTTCTAGTTCATCTCTGTTTGTTTGTTCTTTAGTTCTTCTAGGTCTTTGGTAAACACTTCTTGCATCTTCTCCATTCTGTTTTTGAGATCCTGGATCATCTTCACTATTATTATTCTGAATTCTTTTTCTGGAAGGTTGCCTATTTTCACTTCATTTAGTTATTTTCCTGGGCTTTTATCTTCTCCCTTCATCTGGGACATAATCCTCTGCCTTTTCATTTTGATTAACTTTCTGAGATGTGGTTTTCATTCTGGTGGCTGTGAGATAGCTGTTTTTTCTTTTTCTGTGTGGTCTCTGGTGAATGAGGCTGAGTCTTGCATAAACTTCCTTATAGGAGGAAATGATGGGAAAAACTGGGTGTTGCTCTGGTGGGCACCTCCCAGGATTTCTGCTACCAGTGCCCCATCCCTAAGGCAAGTCACCACCAGTCCACACCTCCACAGGAGATCTTCTAACACCAGCTGGTAAGTCTGGCTCAGTCTCCTGTGGGGTCACTACTCCTTTCCCCAGGCTCCTGGTGTGTATATGATTTTGTTTGATCCCTCCAAGAGTGGAACCTCTTCCTCCCAGTCCAGTGGAAGTCCTGTAACCAAATCTCACTGGCCTTCAAAGTGAGATTCTCAGGGATTCCTAGTCCCTTTGTTGGGTCACCAGGCTGCGGAGCCTGACAGGGGGCTCAGAACCTCACAACAGTGAGAGAGCTTCTTTGGCATTGTGTAAGTCATCATCCACTCATCAGGTGTGGGATTTGGTTTTATCCTGATTGTACACTTTGTACCATGCCATTGTGACTGCTTCTTTATCTTTGGATGTGGAATATCTTTTTTTGGTTGATTCCAGTGTCTTCCTGTCAATGGCTGTTCAACAGCTAGTGGTCTCACAGAAGAGATGAGTGCATATCATTCTACTCTGCCTTCTTGAACACATCCATTTTTAAAAAAATGGATCTTGATATAAATTCAAACTTACTGAACATTTCCAAGACTAGTAAAAAAAATTCCCAAATACCATTCACCTATATTTTAACATCAGTATTTTATTTGCTTGATTCTTTTGTGCTATAACTAGTATTATGTTTATCTATCATTGTAGACATGTGCCCCTTTACTGCTAAAGAATTTAGTGTGCTTTTCCTAAAAACATTTTCATAAATACCTGCAGTTTAAGAATCAAAATCAAGAAGTTAATGCTTATTCAGCATTATTTTCTAATCTGAAGGTTTTGTTTACATTTCAATAATTTCCTATTATGTTCTTTATGCCAAAAGAAAATTTTGAATTATGTGTTGCTTTTAGTTGTTGAATCTCCTTCAATTAGGAGTAATTTGCAGTTTTAATTAACATGTAGAGTCTAGTTTACGTTTGGTGATATGGATGGTTTTGAAAAGGACAGTTTAGTTATTTGCAGAGTCTCTCTCCATTTGAGTTTGTCCAATGTTTTCTCATATTTAAACCCTAATTACCCATTTTTGACAGAACATATTTTTCTCTGTGCATCGTATTTGGAGTCATGTAATGTGGATTCATCCAGTCCTTGGTAATGTTAATTTGAATTACTTGGTTAATGTATGCCTTATTAGTGTCTCAGTCTTAAAAATACCACTGTTTTTCCTCTAGTTCCTAAGTGTCTTTTGGGGGAAATACTTTGAGGCTATAAATTCCTTCTTACTCCTCAAATGTTCACTCACTGATTTTTGTATTGATTGCTGACATGAGTCAGCAATGACTCAATAATATATACATTATATATTATTAATAATATACTTTATATATATCTAAAAATAATGTGAAATTACAGAAACACATTAGGATTGTATTGATGCAGGCATAGGGAAATAGACCAAGGAAACAGAATAGAAGGTCCAGAAATAGACCCATGATCATCTAATATATGACTAGGTAGATACTGCATGTTCTTTCATTAAATAATCCTGGAACAACTGGATGTCTACCAAGGAGAAAACTGATATATCTTATATCAGACTATGTTCAAATATCAATTCCACAGATACAGATCAAAATGGGAAAATAAAGCAACAAGGCATTAATTAATAAGGAAACATAGGAAGTCGTTTTCCTTGTACTGAGTTGTGAAACTGTTTATTTTAAAAAGATCTTAGAAACATAATGGGTGGGGGGAATAGGTCAATCAGACTCCATGAATTAAGGTCTTCTGTTAACTATCATCACAATAAGGCATAGAGTTATAAAATATTGCAGTGTAAGCTCAAAGTGAAAGTGTTGATCTCTCAGTTGTGTCTGCAAGCCCATGGACTGTAGCCCACGAGGTTCTTCTGTCCATGGGATTCTCCTGGCAAAAATACTTAAGTGGGTTGCCATTCCCTTCTCCAGGGGATCTTCCTGACCCAGGGATCAAACTTAGGTCTCCTCCATTGCAGGCAGATTCTTTACCATCTGAGCCATCCTCAGATGGTAAGTTCAAAGTAAGGGCTGTTCAATTTTACATGACAACTTCTACAAGTCAGAGAATGACAGACAATCTGATAAACCAAAGGGCAAAACAATTTGAGCACCCCCTTGACAAAAGAGGGTGAGCAAATAACCCAAATCATTTGAGGGATGCTCAGCTCAGTAGACATCAGATGGATATTAAAACCACAAAGTGATATCACTATACATCCATTCAAATGACTAAATGAGGGACCCTGGCCTGATCATGTATTGACTGGTGAAGCAACTAGAACTCTTGCGTACTGCTGCTAGGAATGTAAATTGTCACAGATGTTTTGGGAAAAAAAAAAAAAACTTAACAGTTTCTACTAAAGCTAAAAATCTGTATCTTAGCTGCATACCTAACAGAACTATGAAAACAGGTATGTACAAAAATGTTTGTAGTAGCTCAAGTCATATTGGCTGAAAACTAGGAAAAATTCAAATGTGTTATGACAGCAGAATAGACAAACTTTGGAATAAGCATAAAGTCTAATATTCTGTAATAACAATAATATTCAGTCTACTTCTGTATTAGGCAATATGAATAATCTCACAAACATCATCAGTAAAAGGTTTAAGTCACACAGCCAGAGTCCCTTTATGGTGTTTTTTCATTTATATAGAGTATCAAAAGAAGCAAATCTGATTCATGAAAACAGCAGAATCATAGTGACCTGAAGAAATGGAGGGAAGCAGGTATCAGGAGATTTTTCTGGAGTGCTAATTTCTATTTTTTATCTGGTTACATGGGCATATTTACCTTGTGAAAACTCAGAGACAAGCATTTATCATGTGCATACTTTATGGTGTTTGTTTTGTACTTTGGTAAAATACAGTAAGTCCCCTACATATGAACAACTTCTGTTCCATGAGTGGGTTCATAAACCCAGTTTGTTCATAAGCCCTAGAAAGTTAATCTAGGTACCCAAGTAACACAATTGGCTATATAGCACTATACAGTAATAGGTTTTTAATACTTTTCACATAAATAATATATTAAAAATATGAAAAAAAGGAAACATTTTTAATCCTACAGTACAGTACTTTGAAAAGTACTGGAGTATCAGTTACATCACCACTGCTTTTATGTTTGCTTCTGGACATCCTGAGCTTGGAATAAAGATACTACAGAAGATCACAACCACTTGTAGAGGATGCGTGTATGTGACACCTTATCTAACTTATGTGATTAGACAGGTGACCACATGTTCACATCTTTGAAAGTTCTCAACTTGAAGGTTTGTATGCAGGGGACTTGCTGTAATGCTTTAACATTATAAACAATTCCTCAAAATATTGCCCTGACCACTTCCAAAGAGAATAGTGACCCCTATGAGGGATTTACTTATCAATCTTACTTAAATTTGCTTATCAGTCTTCAGGGACTGGGCATTTTTTAACCTTTCCTGACATTTTTTTTAGTGTTTCCTTTCAAATACTCTCTTGGATTCTACATAGTGTTTTACTAAAGGATTATCATACTTTTCTTTTATACAATTCACCCAAATCCTATGTCTTCTCCTCACAGTCAGAGTCAGACACCAGATCTAATTTACCTAACCCATTCCAATAGAGAAATTATTTTCAATGATTCTCTTTTCTGTTTTCCTTTCTCTTCTATTTCAAACCCAGTGTCATTGTACTCCACGTTCTATCCTCAATGATAATCTTTGTGTTTTGCTTTGCCTAGCTTTACGAAAGCCCCACTCCGAAGTCAGTTATGCTGACCTCTATATCTGCCTCCTTTGATCCCAGTGGACTCGGCTGCATGTTGAAATATGAAGCTCTATGGTACACAGAGCTCTAGTGTATGAAAAAAATCCTCATTAAGGATAATGAATTATTTCAAAATTTTTAAAATTATTTTGGCACACTAAAGCTTCTGGAATTTTTTTTTTTAATTACTAGAAGCCTTACTACAGATACAGCATGGTGGAACCCTAGCCATAAGAACACTATGGCATTGATTTTCTAGGGTCTTTAGGGTTATTAAAATTTATGATATGTGAAATTTTAGAATACTTATCTCCTCTCATAATAATGATTTTATATTTCTTTCTCCATATTCATACTTTTAGACCTTTCATTTATCTGGCTACCAAAAGTGAGAAAAAAAGCTTTGGAAGAAATAAAGGAAATGAATGATATAGAGCTGTGTGGCTCACACAGCAATTTTGATTTTTAGCCAAGTTTTACACTAACTCCTTGGCAAGTCATATATGATTTTTCTCCACACTTGATTCCCCTGCTGATTTGTATGGGAATGTTTGAATATATTGCTTCATTTGTCTGATCTTCTAAGGTTTGTTCTGCGCACTCCACTGCAGATCTGATTGTTACTGAGTGCCTCAATGCCACAATCGGGGCTGAGCAACAGGAGTTTTGTGCACAATACTTTAGAACATGAGGGAAATCATTTGCTATACAAAATTCAGAACAAAAGGTAAAAGATAAAATAGGAACAAATGATAAAGATAATATATTTCTGCCACTCCTGATAACTTTTTGGCATAAGTTTTTCTTATTTTTACAAGAAATGTGCATGTCCAGTTTATAAAAATTAGATTTTATTTTATACATTTTAGTTTTTAAATGTTTTATAAAAACAAACTTCAAAATGATATTTTCATTAGCATTGAACTGTGAAAATTTTCATACCCATAAATATAGTTTCATCACATAATTTCACTGTGCAGGTTTCTACTCCTCAGGCCATTTCTGAATTAAGAGGAAAGGTGAATAATCATATATTGAGACTTTGTTCAGAATTAGTTATTTATGTTCCTTAGCATGAGTTACTTTTATACCTAAAAAGTATCTCTGATCCTGGTGCCATTTTTCATTGTACACAAGATTGAGTGAATAAAAACAGAGTTTTGGTTTGCAAGAAAGCAAACTCCATACATTGATTTTTTTTTTTTTTTTTTTAGTATTTTTAAATGCCTTGTACAAAGAATGCAGAATTCATTGCAATGAGCACATGACTATACAATAGTTAACTAAAGTAATCCAGTTCTATCTTTTTACCTTCCAAGACCATTGTCCTATAAATTATACAGAGTAAGTTCAAATCCAAAATATTGTTTAGGTTATAGTAGAAACTACCTTTGAACACTAGGCAAAACTAAAGTGCTAAGTTGAAAAGAACTGGGAACAGTTCCAATCTTTAGCTGTAACTCTGAGAGTAAGGGCCCTGATTTTAAATTAAAAGATACAGTATGACTTAAAGGAAATAAAAAATATTATATGTTACATTGATTGGCTTTTCAGGCATCTAATGTAAGCTGGCATCGTGAAAAATATCATTTGGAAATAATTTTTCATTTTCCAGTTTCAAATTTGAGGTAAGTTGGTTCGCTCCCTCCAAATACAATCCTTCTCCTATTATTTTATAGATACTCTCATCTATAAATCATTATAATCTAATCACAATAATCCAAGACACACTTCAGAAGTCTCCTTTGTTCTAACTCTAGTTTACATTCCCGTGCATTTCTATTTGTGCCTGAAAGGTCAGAGTAATACAAATGCAAAACGTTAACCCTTAAATTATTGCTGCTACTGCTAAATCGCTTCAGTCATGTCCGACTCTGTGTGACCCCGTAGATGGCAGCCCACCAGGCTCAACTGTTCCTGGAATTCTCCAAGCAAGAATACTGGAGTTGGTTGCCATTTCCTCCTCCAATGCATGAAAGTGAAAAGTGAAAGTGAAGTCGCTCAGTCGTGTCTGACTCTTTGTGACCCCGTGGACTGCAGGTTACCAGGCTCCTCTGTCCATGGGATTTTCTGTCTTACTCAATCAGTAGCTGTCTTAGCTATGTCCCATAGAAAACAGAAACCAAGGAAGAGATTAAAAATGATTGCCTTATCTAGAGGTGATTCCAGGGCCTGAGAAGAAGAGAAAGGTAATATAGGTGATATTTCAGCAAGGTGACACTGCTCAGCAATAGGACACAGAGAGAACACAGTTTCTCTAGGGCATGCAGGACAGCTCTAGGTGGACTGAGCAGAGGAACTTCGCCTGAGAAAAGTCCTGCGAGAGGAGGAAGGAGAAGAGATTAATCCACCTAGCATGTTCTCTCCCATATTTGCACTGGTCAGTATTGAGTGGTCCCATTGGAATTATTTTCTGCCTTTCCATAATGGAATGTTTGACTGCTTGACTGTTTCTCAAGAAGTCATACCTTCATCCTCAACTCCCCACCTAGTAATGGGATGTATCATCTAAATATTGAAGTAATGGATGAGACAGAACCTGAATGTAAGCAGCAGGTCCCCTCCTTGCAGGGTCTCTTTCAGGCAAGGCGCTAAACAGAGATGATGAGCTGAGGGGGACAGGCAGTTGAACTTTGAGAGACATAGGCAAACAAGAGAATCTAAGGATGACAGCTGGTGTTTCCATATAACTAAGCATAATTGAAGCATATAGTGTATGAGTTCATAATTTTACATACTTGTAATTATTCTCTGTGAAGTCATTAGAGTTGACAGTAGAGTGAGCTGGACAACTTTTATCAACTTTCTAACCTAGTGACTACTCTGTGGATTAAAAGGCATATTTGACTTTTGCAAATGCAAGTTAATAAAAATTCTCATCAGTAAACACTGTTTACATGTAAATTGTTCCCTATTACAGTAGATCTTCCAAGACATACACATTTCTCAAGACTGAAATGATACTGTCAGTTTTTTCCTTTTTAAATCATTTTATGAAATCAGGTTAGAGGCTTGTCAAAGTGGGTAACTCACACGACTTTTCAATTCAATATGCCTTTAACTCTCTTAACATATAGTAGCTGTCAGATACAACTAGGAAATCATCTTGTCAGAAAACTCCATGCCAAACATCTTCTCCGGGAGTTTATAGGTTTCGGTATTTGTTGTTGTTGTTTTGTGCCAGTTAAGAAAGGTTTATTGATAACCCAAGCTTAATCAACTTCAAATAGCCTCAAAATTCACAGTAGTGGATTTCTCTTGAATGCAGAAGAAGCAGACTGTCCTGGCTGCCTTTTCCCTCTGCCTCCTCTCCACCTCCTGATGAAGCACTGCTGCCTTTGCCCAGTGTCGCCCACTCTTTTCTCCTTTAACCTTTGTCCCTCCATGTTCTACTTCTGCTCCTTTACCCGCTTTCTCGTGGGGGGGCATTCCTCTTCATAACTGCTATTAAAAAAAAAATGGTGTTCTTTCAAAGGTAATTTAATCTTGAAATGTTATCCTTTTAAAGAAGAAAATTGAAAACAAATAAGGGTTTGCTTACAAATAGTACATCTCAATACATTTACCAAAGTCAAAGTACAAAATATATCCACCCCAAAGTCAAATACAGCTGCCAAAAAAAAATCTTTCTGAGAATACACGATTATTACCAACTTGATCTGGTTGGAAAGAATGTTAGAGATTTATACTAAGCTCAAGTGCATTTGGTATCACAAAAAAACAGACCAAAGATACGCAGATAAATTCTTGAACAAAACTGCACATCACATTGTAGATCACATCACAATTGGATATTAAAGATAATCTAGGCAAACATCCTACCATCTGGAATGTTTTCCTGATCTTTCTCAAGCACTATTAGAGTAAAAAAAAATCAGAAAAATGCAAATTGTTCAGTACATAGACAAGTATGAATTTCTGCCTCTTATGCAGGGATACTATATATTTTAATATAAAAATCACAGATATTCAGTTCTCAGATGAAAAGCCCAAATTAATAAGAAAGAACAAAATAAATAAACTTAATAGCCCAATTCAAACATATAGAACAATGAAAATATACTCAACGGAAGCAAAAGTAAGCAACAAAGAAAGCAAATAAATAAGAAAAAGGGAAAAACATAATTAATAAAGCTATTCAAGAGTAGTTTCTTTGAGGAAAATACCTAAGTTGTTATTTTGTTAGTTAACTGAATCAAGAAAAAGAGGAAGGATGGTAAACATACAAAATAAGACATTAAATGTAGAAACAGTCAAATGTTCCAGGGGTGTTACAGATGACTTTGCTCAATTCTACACTAATAAACTTGAAATGGATAAGATGAATGATTTGCCACATTGTATTTTATAACTTGACCTTAGAGAGACTGAATATCTAAACAATACCACTGCCACAGAACACATAAAGTTTATTAAAAATCATCCTATAAATAACAATATGTTTAGATAATGTCAAAACATAATTTTCAAAGACTAGAAAAAACAAATTCTCCTAATACTTTAAAATTTCTTCAAAATGTATAGAAAAAGGAGTTTCTAAAATGTTTCTGTGTTACTCTAAACTTGAAATCAAGTTCAAAGATACTACAAAAACAAAAACTACATAATAATTTCCTTTATGAATATTTAATGTACAAATACTCAATAAAGTGAAAGAAAGCCAAAGCATTAGTCATTCAATCATGTCTGACTCTTTGCAGACCCCATGGACTTCAGGTTCCTCTGTCCATGGGATTTTCCAGGCAAGACTATTGGAGTGGATTGTCATTCCCTTCTTCAGGGGATCTTCCCAACCCAGGGATCTAATCTGAGTCTCCTGCATTGCATGCTAATTCTTTACCATCTGAGCCACAAGGGAAGCCAAATTCTCAATAAAACATTTTAAAACACAAGTAAAATGCAACAGCATATTAAAATGATGCTACTTCATGACATTTATTCCCATTTTGTTTTATTGATAATATACTAATTGTTTTGATCTTTTAGAAACATACTTTTGATTTATAGATGAAGCACATACTGTCCTATAGGTATATTAATATATCATCATTAATATAC